AAAAAATGATAACATGACAACAGACTCAGTGTTTGAACAAAGAAAGTGTAATGATTGTAATTCATCTCTAAAATCTGATTCCTCACACTGATATTTCACACATTTCTCTAGACTGGAAGAGAACTTAATTTGCTATTTTTGTTTTTATTTAATAATCAAATCCAAAGGTTTAAAGCATTCCTCGCCCAGCATATTTACTATAATTTGTCTGTCACACAGTCACTAGATTTTTTTCAGTAAATACCAGACATGTTTCATTTCTGGGATGTAGAGTTTGGAGTTCAACTCAAACATAACCAGCTGTGTGACTGTGATAAACACACTTGTGTTGTGGGTGAAAAGTCACTTCTTGATTCTGCCTCAAACAACAGAATAAAAAAAAAAAAATCAGTTACATTTTTTAAATGAGTCACTTAGTGCAAATCTTTGCAGAGCAAACAATTCTTTTTAATACCATCCTAGATTCCTTACAAACAAAACTGGGATTAAGCAACAAAATATGAAAACTAACATAACATAAGATCTACATATACCTTGACTGACTCTGTTAAAAGTCACAGATTAATTTCAGGCAATCGTTAAAATATAATTTTACACAGAGGGATGGAGTTCAGTAAAGTATTTTGTTTTTGCACTCATTTTTGCACTCATTATTTAAAAGTGTTTTTTAAAAAGTTACTTCCTGTTATTTCTCCAGATGACGCCACAGAGCTGCCTTTGGATCTCTGTGTTTTTATTGTTTCGCTTGTGCAGCTTGTTTACAGTCCTAAAACTGATGTGTTTCCAGTAGAACTTTGCAATGTGGATGTAAGTAAGTAGGTAAAGTTTATTTAAATAACGCTTTTCACATATATAAAAGTGTCAAAATAAAAGACAATATTGAAAAGAGATTCATGTTAAAACTGAATAAGAATAAATAAAGTACAGGTACTGGTGTGCTGAGGAGTAGATTGCAGCTCATCTTACCTTGGCTCTGATGAAGGCTGCTGTTCAGAAGGCGATCCTGGTGCAGCTGGACAGATTTGTTTGTGAGGACAGCTCTGTTTATGTGCGTCCTCTCCTTTGTTCACGCCCAGGATAGGATGGGTGGAGGTGTAGTTCACAGTTGAGCTGCCTGATGGGAACCTCCCACTGATGATTCATTACGTAAAAACGAGGGCTTGACTGCTCCAATCAGAGAGCATACTTAATTGCACCTCTGCTTAAAAGGGTAGCAACAGAGTTAGCTGGATAACTTCTATAACTCACAGTACTTTGAGTATTGCTAGTGTTTTCTGCAAATATTGCAGCTTCATTTTTCCATTTTAGTTCCTCAGTTCTCATTTTTACCGATCAGTGTTCCTGGTAACTGACTGGAGCATATACAACTGTAGATAAACTCCTCTGAATTGATGGCTGTGACTGGTTAATGTGTGATATTAATTACACATCGCGCATCGCCAGACTTCATAGCAATCAACAGATCCTGAAATCCTGCCCAACTAATAAAATGGGTGGGCGTTGGAACATGAGAGGCCTTTAAAACTACTTTTAGGTTATTGTAAGACTGTGACTTAAGTGTCATTAAAACCATTAAGATTTTGTAATATGTGAAGTCAAAATAAAATAAAATGAAAAAACATCTGCTTTATAAGTTACGTCTGATGTTGGTATCATCACAGTTAAAGTGGGATTTGGCAGATTTCCAACCCTTACCCGTATTTTAAGTTTAACCTGCCAAGTACTGTGACGACTTCTGTCAGCATTCTGTCACTCTGAAGATTCTTCAGTGATAAGTCAGCGATGATTCCTGGAGCAGGGGTGCATTCCTTTTACTCACGCTAAAGTGAGCAGTAGCACTGTGTGCATAAACCCTGCTTTTCACCTGCTGTATGTGCAATATATATGTGTGGTATTTATTGAACTTAAAGCAAAGAATATGAAATAAACCATCTGTCAGCCTGGCTGTAGCACAACAGACACTCTGCTATGAATGCCAGTTTGTGCCTCTTTATGAGGTTCATGAGTCCTACAGCTTTGGTGTCACTATTGCAAATAAAGTTAAAAGTAGTTAAGTGACCAACACTAGTGTAATTTACTAAGAACTGCAGTATGTAAAGCCAAAAAACCCCAAACTCTATTGTTGCACTTGATGTGGGTGTGATCATGGGTTAAAGTGTAACTGGTTGCACAGCCAATCGTGGCTGCTTAGGAACTCTTAGCCAGCATAAAGCCAATGTAAAGGGAGAATCTGCCAAATAATAAAATTATTAAAAACTTGTAGATGTTAACAGTTGCACTGCAAACAAATCAGTCAAATCAGAGCCTGATGTTCCACTCCTTGTAACTCGTGTAGTTTTGATGCCAAGCAACTACACATACAGTCATACAGTGCTTTGCAGAACTCTTGAGCCTCCTCTCACTTCTTAATTTCATCTTCAAAACAATTTTTTTTAATTTTTAAAGTGCTCTTGAGTGATATTTCTAGGCTTTCTAAAGGTTTTTCAGTTTTTTCTTTGGACATTAGCAGGTTTTTCACTTTGTTCCAGTCCCATCCATGTATCCAGCTATTTTCATAAGACTCTTTCATACAGTTTGGCAGGAAGGTGCACAAGTTGACTCCCAAAGAGCTGAAGACTATCACAGCATAGTGTGCAGGATTTCCTGAAGAACTGAGAAAACAGACCAGTGGAGGAGAAAAGAAGTATCAGGCTTGAAAAACAAATTTAATAAATTCATGTGTAGGCTGGTTCTCAGGAGGATATATAATATAATCTACAACACAAAATGAAGAAAAAGAAATTAAGAATATGATCAAGTAAAAGGATGGGACAGAAAATTAATAAAATAAATCTGCCGATATACAAAGAAGCACTTTGAAAGATCTCCAGAAAACCTGTGTAACTACTTATCAACACTACTTGAAAACATAGAGAGGAATGTCTGGCTTCTTGGTAGGAAAAGATGAAGAAGTGACAAGTGAAGGGTGGATCAAGAACACTAAACGCTACTGTGCATTTCTTTGCTGTACATTCTTCCTGGGTGAAACATTTGACTTCAATGCTATGTACTAAAACAAAGTGCAACACGAACTATGTCATGCCAAGCTTGTACACTTTGTCAAGACCTGAGTGGCAGCATTCAGTCACTCAGAGATAAGTCTCAGAGATAAGTCAGTGGTGGCACAGCTCATTCCTGGAATTCAGTTTGCAATCATTTGCTCTATTTTCCTGAAGAGAACAACAAGATGCAAAAGTCTAAAGCTCATGTATGTGGCTTTCTAATGTTTTCCAAGCAGCCAGATGTTCTAGTAGATTTGTTT